AGCACTGAGCCCACCAGGGCCCACGGGGGAGGAATCACAGGCAGGTGGGTGCAGGTGGAGGGGGTCCAGGTCCCTGTGCAGCCTCACACGCTGCTGCACGCGCTCTAACGTTCCAGAGGCTCCGGGCTGCGCCAGGAGGCAGCCCAGCCCAGTGCCGCTCGCACAGCCTGAGCCAGGACCAGAGGCTGAGTGGGCACATCCCTCGGGCACAGGGCTGTGCGCTCAGAGCAGGGCCAGCCACGTGTAAGCAGCGTCCAGAGCTGGTGCTGACGCTCCCGGCCCCTGGAGTCACCCATGTCCCGGGGACCCCTGCCTGGGAAGTCCTGCAAGTCAGGACCACACTCCAGCCTGGCCGGCGGGGCTCAGCGGCTAAGCGCCACCGTATGAACCAGGAGGTCACGGCTCGATTCCCGGTCAAGGGCACATGCCCAGGTTGCAGGCTCGGTCCCCGGTGTGGGGCATGTCACATGGTTCTCTCTCATCATTGATGTTTCTGTCTCTCTCTCCCTCTCCCTTTCTCTCTGAAATCAATAAAAATATATTTTTAGAAAACACACTCGGGCCTGAGGCAAAGCTGAGAGCCCATCAGAAGACGGGAGGTGCCTGGCCAGTGTGGCTCAGTCGGTTGCACTGAAAGATCGCCGGTTTGATTCCTGGTCGGGCGCATACCCTGGTTGTGGGTTTAGTCCTGGTCAGGATGCTTACATGCAACCACTCCATGTCTGTCTGTCTCTCTCTCTCTCTCTCTCTCTCCCCCTCTCCCTTCCTCTCTAAAATCAATAAAAAACATATTAAAAAGAAAAAATAAGATAGAAGGCTAGAGGGCTCTATCACCCCTAAAATTCAACCCCCAATGTGACTCTATTGGGAGGTAGGCCTTTCATGGAGGTAATTAAGGCTAAATGTGGTCATACGGGCAGGGTCCTGGTACAATAGGATTTGGGTCCTTATAAGAAGACACGCGCGATCTCTCTGTCTCCTGTCCTCATATGAGGACACAGCGAGAGGGGCAGCCAGGCAGCGTGTTCTCCACCAGGACTGACCTGGATCTGAAACTTCCAGCCTCCAGGACGATGAGAAAATTAAGGTCTGTTGTTTAAACCCCACAGTCGGTGGTATTTGTTACAGCTGCCTGAGCTGAGGGATACACCCTCATTCCCCAGCGTGCACATTCCAGGACATGGGGCTTCAGCCAGGGGCCTGCAGGTTCTAATAGAGCTGGGCTGCAGCCCCGCCTTCTGCCAGCAGGGGGCGCCCTACACTGGAGCCTCAGGTGTGAGGCCTGGAGAGCCGCCAGGGAACAGAACCTCACCTGAGCAGGAAACTGGGCGTCTAAAAACAAGTGTCACACAAGGTGGGGGCCCACTCTGCCAGCGATCTCCCAGCTGGGGGTGCAGGTGGCAGCACCCGAGAGCTGGGCACGGACTCAGGCTGGAGACCAGGGTCAGGTGCACCAGAGTGCCATGGAGGAAGGGGCAGGTGGGGGCTGTGAGTGGCCGGCCTCAAGGGTGGCTCTGCCGGCAAGGCCCTGGCCCCCAGGCCTGGCACAAGGCCAGCCCGAGTGGTCAGCTGGGGGCTGTGAGGTAGGCTGGCTGGGGGCGAGCCCGCCAATGGTGGCCGAGCCCCAGCTCCCCCTGAGGCAGCCTCCCCCAGCTGGCTGTCTCGGGCCTGGCTTCCCGGGGTTCCCTAATTACTGCCCTCAGACTGGCTGGGCTGCTAGACCCCAGTGCCTCAGCCCACGTGTGGTCACATGTGTGGTCAGCGGCCATCCGCAGCCCTTCCTTCCGGGAAGCCCTGCTGGGGGCAGGGCCAGGAGGGCAGGACTGGGAGGGTGGCTGCCAGCTGGGCCAGGAGGAGATAGTCACTGGGCTCTGCCCGCCCCCTCGCCCCCACCCCGGCAGCTTGGGGTCACTCGCTGTTCAGCCCTGTGCGTCCTGCCCCGTCTCCCCTCCAAGGGGGCCTCGGCACTACACAGGACACGATGCCCTTACAGGCGTGTACACGGCCGCCGGAGCCACATTCCAGGGCCACGAGCAGGGGTAGCACCAGCCCCACGTCACAGACTGCACGCCAGCCAGCGGGTCCCTGTGGCTGTCCCCAGAGAAAGCACAGGGTACAGGCCACCCCGTCCCAAAGCAGCAGCCCAAGGCCACTCTTAGAGGCTGCGATGGGCCCCCCCGAAGTCCCAAAGGGCACCTCCCCTCTGCAGGCTGCTGG